ATCTCCAATAAATCAAGCCGTTTCCTTGACTTTTCTTGTGGCTGTTTGCCACCGAAAGCAGCGCTCATTAATCAGGACGACCTCGGTCAATGGGAAATGTTCATTTGATGGCAGCTTGTTGCAGCTCAAATATATCTGAGTTCATTTATTTTTCGTGATGATGCGGACAAACCGATTTGTTTTTCTAACCCAGGAATGAATTACATGGGAAACTGGTGAAAGGTATTTCTTGTGGGCGAACTTGTAATACACCTTTGGGTGGTTTTGTTTAGAGAAATTCCCAGAAGCATTTTCAAAATGTCAAACCTATATTGATATGTATAAAAGATTCAACTGTATTTAAATTCACAAAAATAAGACCTTTATTGTGCATTGAAATACTACAAATCACTTCAATTTCTGAGACATTTGAAATAAATTATCCTCTCCCTTTCATGATAACAAAAGAATCATAAAAAACTAAAATGAAACTTTTAAACTCGACCCCACAGTGGCTGTCCCTGAATCAATCATTATCGAAAAGTTTTCCTTTGCAGCTTTCATCGGACCGTGTCCTTTTCAATTCTGTAGCCTAATTAGATCAATTCGATGCAACTGTGAAGTGGCCGAAACTGCCAACCAAGTTCTCTGGAGTTTTTCGTGGAAACTCGGCACTCGACTGCAATTCGAGCAGTTTTTCCGGGCATAAAAATTACGGGGCCCTGTGCTTTTTACGAGCTGCCTCAGCGGCGAACTGCTGACATAGATTCCGCTCAAATATTTCGCACTACTTTTCATTTTACGATGGCACGCAATGAAAAGTGAAAAGCTGAAAGCCTTTCTTCCCGCCCTCTTTAGCGTTCGTCTTTTGTTTGCTTAATATTTGCGCCGCCACCCTGTTTTGCTGGCACTTTTTTGTGTTTTCCTCCTGATTCTGTTGTTGCAGCGAAAATAAAAGCGGGGCAGTGCAAACAATGCTCCAGAGTGATTGCCGTGAAACATGCTGCGATTTTCTCGACTGACACGCCCACCAGTTGCCAACCCGCCCATCCATCAGGCCATCCAGCCATCCATCCATCCATCCATCCATCCATCCATCCATCCATCCAACCAGCCGTGTGTAGTTGCAGCCATTTTCAACACTTTTGTTTGCATGCTTAAATAAATTCTGGAAAAGTGGTAAAAACTCGCATGAATAAACTCCGAAACCAAAGAAGAAAACGAATGTATTTCGTATTTAAGCAACCGCAGATGGGCCATGGAAGTTGTAAATTTAAATCAAATGTTTCGAGTGCTCACTCCACTGTTCGGCGAGGCAATCGAAATTTGCAATAAGGATAAGTGTCCTGGCCAGCAGTGGCATCAACAAATTATCTAATCGACCTTTTTTGCCGCACTTTGAACCCTTCACCACCAACTTTGTCCTTTTTATCCTGGTCTGCAAAGTGAATTGCAGTCACTTGCTCCTCCGATTCCATTGCAACTGACAGCTGGCTTTGCCGCATTAAGTGCTGAAACTACTGAGTCTTGGGGAATTGCCACCTCCGAAGAATCCAGCACTGACTGCTTACAACATCTCTATTTCGCTGGCAATATAACTTTGCCTCTGGCACGACGGAGATAACACTGCCAAATGTCCAAGAATGCCTCGACATGTTCGAATATTAAATCCCAGTACTGCAAAAAGAGCAGCTGGAATGTAAGCCATCAAATGGTACATCAGTTTAAAATGCTGAAACAACTTTTGGAGTAGTTTCTTGTTAATTTATTATTAAAAATGATTATAGTTTAGATCAATATAAATTTGGCTACCCTAACTAATATGTTATGCCCTGGTAATGAAGGGGTTTCTTAGGGGACTCACCCAAAACTATGATATTCATTTGTAGAATTGGGGAATAGTTTTCTTTAAAAAACTGGGTTCAACATCCCAGAGTTATAGCAATTGGTATTTTTAGTGCCCCAAAGAGTGGCAGTGCTGATGCTGCGTCATAGTTTAATGGCCCCACAATTGGCACAGAAGTTGACACATTCTCCCGACTCAGCTGCACTGAGCCGCCCTGAGCTGCGTCGAGTTGGTTTGGTTGGGTGGTTGGGTGGTTGGGGCAGGTCGGTCGGAAATAACGGGGCATTAGTGGCTATATCCCGACCCTCAGGGAGCGTCGGCTGAGCTGCATTTTCGCATCAAATGTCGGGCGAAACTGCAGTTTTATGACAAGTTGTGCCGTGTGGAAATCGTGGCGGATAGGCAAACTACCCGCAGTTGAACCACCCGCGTTCCGTGGTGGCTTGAACCACAGTTTAGCGTCTCTCTCGAACATATCAAAAAGTTCTGAATTATTAATTACTAAATGTTGAGGGCTATTTGCCCCGAACCTCAACTACATATCACGCACACGCAGACACTGACACACACACACACACAGCCATGGGAATTCTGTACCTTTACTTTACTCATTTGTACCTTAAGGTGATTGCGTTGTGTAAACTGTACCCTAGAAAAGGAATAGTTAGTGACTAAGGACGAGTAATCTCGAAATGAAATTATGTAAATAACAGCAAATATTGTATATCTATATTGTACTACCGCGTAAGTGACATGAAGTTTTAGCAGAAACGGAAACGGAAACGGCGACAGAAACTACCAAGTTTTTAGTCGTAAGCCAAATGGCAAAGTCATGTATCGAGGTCACACTCTATATAAGGCTCTTTTGTACCTCTTGCTCTCCCACTTTCGAATTTACTAAGGAACCCTTGAAAGCGCTAAGTGAAACTTAAACGTTTGTCTAGCTCTAAGTAAAATAAATTTAATTAAATACGAGTATAATACAACTGAAATAAAGCACAGGCGCAATACATGGTTAGCAAAACGAAGTGGTCAATGGATCAATGGCCACATTTCAACAATTATGCTGAAAGCATTTAATAGTCTAAGCATGAGCAACATAATCCCCATAGAGGCAAATTAACTTGTAAATTATTGAATCTCAAACAGCATACGCAAGTCAAGCAAATCCGTAGTGGAAAAATATAGTTCATTGTTGCTGTCTATTACGCCTAGAGAATGGATAAATAAACTATGAAACTATGAATTAACACAATATCAGTACTAGTTAAATGTGTGTGCGTTTGTCATTGCATATGTAGTCGAGAGTCGCCCTATTAAAGGTTTAGCTGTAATTGTATTTTTGTGTATATCTGTATATGTCTCTGTATATGCTTAGATCAATAATCCCACATCACCTCCGACCTTGAGTTCATATCCCACTTTCCCACTTCCCCACCTTCCCACTTCTCCCAGCATTGTTTACCTATTCTGTATAAATTAAAAATCTCTCAACTAAGTTTACTCAAAAAGAAACTACTACAGCAAAGTGAGAAATACTTAAATAAATACTGAAGCATATTGATAAGCAGAAAAGCTTGTGTTTTTGCCTTTCAGTTAATTGCATTTTCATCAGGATTCAGCCCAGTTTGCTTTCGATAGCAAAAAAGGCTTTTATCATTGACAGACTTCAGAAACGTATTACGTTGAATTTGATTCAATTATTGCAGTGCCAGTGGCTTCGAAAAGGTAAGTGTTAGTTGTTTTCTTTTGGAAATGGTTTTCCCACAAATATATATCGGCATGTCACTGCCGATTGTTTCACTTTTTGTAGCTGTGAGTGGGTGGATGGGTGGTTTGGGGTGGTGTGCTGTGAGAAAACGGCAATGTCCTTGCTGGCTTCGCATGTGCCTGGAATTTCGAGTTCATTAAAAAGTGTGCAGGAATTCAATTCAATGCCGAGCACCGCAAACGAGCGTTTGTTTGCTAGTATGATGCACTAGATGCGCTAAATGGAAAACAGAATAGAGGAGCGCTCTCTGAAAATCATATATTCACGGGAAATTAGGGTAGACATTTCGGTTCCGAGGGCTCTTATGTCTAGTAAATCACAGAATGCATCAACTAACTTTTGCCAAATATATTTGGGGACAAAATGGGGTTTTTTCCTCATTAAAATGATACACGAGTCATGTGAGTATATTTATTAGACTATTATTTCTTCGTTCAGCTGAAATTTAATTTACGCTCGAAACTCGTTTTAATATACAGAACAGAATTCGTATGATTTTTCAATTCCAAAGCAGTAAACCTTAAAAACCCCAAAGACCACACACTTGCTCCTCTTTTGAGTGAAGTTTTAATTTCCGCTTTGCGGTTGCCAGCTGAAAGTCCGAAGAAAATGCCCAGAAGTACTCTCTTCGGATTTCAGATGTTATTATCGCACAATGTAGATGTAATATGCAGTATTATGCCAGGCAGCGGATGTAATTTAACTTGATGCCGTAAAAAATGTCTCCCAAACAATGGATATTTCCTGAATAGCGGGGCAAGGCAGCGAAATGAAGTTCAGAAATCGAATAAATATTCAATTATTTACTTGACTGGGAGTTTCTTTGGGCTTAAGACTTTTTCACAATGGGAAGGGACACAAACACGCGAGGAAGTCAATATTGAAATTTTCCTTGGGCATAATGCGGGTTACAGCCATTTACGTGAACGTATATATAAATGATATTGAAGCATCTGGCTGAGGGCAAATAAAAAATAGATGAACTCACTTTCCCTCATGCGCACACATGTGTGTGTCTCGAATTGCAGGACGAAGGAGGTCCTGACAAACAACTGAAGGCAGCCAGGACATTAAAATGAGCAAAATGTGTAATAAAAATCCAACCTGATCCCGTGCCCAAATATTTGCTTATCTACAAATGCCAGAAAAATACCCTAAATTGAAGTCATTTCCAATCAAGCACATTTTCGACAGTCAAAAGAAACGATTTCAATATGGCAAGTTGAAAGCCAAAAGGATCCTTTAAGGCTGTTTGGCCAGCAAACAAGGATTGAATGAGGACAATTCGGACGTGAATTGAACCTTGTGATTTGGGCTAACTTGAGCTGGGTCAGGTATAAATTGTAGAGTACACATATTGCAATTCGGGTGTGTTATAAAATAAAATTTGTACTACACTGATGGTTACGTCAACCTAAATTTTCTCTATTTTGGAGCAGAACCCGATTGAATACTATAGTCCTTCTGTTTTCTCGCCTCGATTTCCAGAGCATCTCGACAGGGATCGCAGCAGCTGGTATTCGCCTGCGATTTGCCGACCACAAAAACTATGTCCTTGGGACTAAGATTCCTATCCAAATTGGGACAGGTTTCGCCCTCCCTGGAAATATGCAAGTGGTCGTAATTACTTAGCACTGTGCAAGGTAATCCCAGCTCACCTGGCATAATCGCCACATTTGATGAACAGCTTGCAAAGGAACTCTAATCCGCCAACTGGTTTCCCCGCCATTTCCAGGGGACAAGTGCTAGTGTACGAGAATGCCTTCATGTCCAGCTTGATTCTGCTGCTTAATCTTTTGGGCAGACTGAGTTTGCCCAAGCCAACAACTTGCTCGTCGTACACCACCTCAAAGTCTATGCCACTTTCTTCGACTTTCTGGGCAAGATTTGGTGGTTCCGCCTGGAAGGTGTGACTGGCATTCGGCTTGAACTCGCTCACATTGGTCCTACTAGCTGTGAGACTGAGGTTGTTGCCCCCAAAGCCGACCTTCACCAGCAGTTTTCTGGGGTCAGTTAGGGCAACGCCCTTTACCTCCAATCGAGTGATAACCAGATCGAAGGAGAAGACCGGCACACTTCTATCGAAAACTGGTTCAGGAGGCACTTCGGGTGCTGGTGCCGACTTGGATGCGAAAACGCTTTTCTTTCCTTTCTTCCCCTTGTCTTTTTTCCCCTTCTTCGGCATTTTTCAGGATGGGCGAGGACCTATGGCACTGCTATGCTCTGGAAACGGGCTTTGATCTAGTCGAACTTTTTTCCGGCTACATAATATTAAGTTAATTGAGTTAAATTGAGAATCTCAAATCCACTCCTACTAAGATGCTACGATTTGAAAACAAGCGAGCTCTCAAAGGTCTCTCCAATTTAGGTAAAGGGTTTTGTTCTCCAACTTTAACTGGCCATAGTAGGGCTTCTTCAATATTTATTCAATGCACTTTGCACTTTGCACCCCGGAGAACAAGCTGCCTCCGCATGCAGAACTCGCAGATTTATTGGCATGAAGAGCTCCACACTGCCACTTTCCATTCCTTGCGTGCTCCTGCTCCTGCTGCTCCTGCTGCTCCTTCTGCTCCTGCTCCAGTGGTGAATGATTCGCCAGCATATTTCAGAAGCGTTTAATGGTGGCGCTCATTTGTCTGCCAGCAGGAGCAGTGCCCCAAGCCGCATCAGCAATGCTGCAGCCAAGTGTCAGTGTGGCAGTGTGCATCTAGCAGCAGCCGCAACCGCCAACGAGCTGGGTATTAGGTGCCAGGCATTAGGTACTTGTGGCGTATACGTAACGTGCCAAAACCAAGAGTGTTCGCTGGAGCAAAACAAGAGGCAAAAACCAAAACACTTGCTTCAACCAATTACTTGTGAGAGTATGTGGATGCCAGCAGAGAATTGGAATTAGTTTTGCCAGCTGCTGGTGAGGAATATCTTTTGTTTTATGGTTTATCCAAAAGGATTTATTATGCTCCTAGTATGTGCCATTTAACCCGGTCAGATGTTCAGGGCTATTCACGTATATTCACAAGCATATTCACATGCAGACTTTCTAATTGGTGGTTTTTTCTAGCAAGGCAAAGTGATTTGCATTTATTTTAAGGCCAGACGTTAATTTGGCTTAGCAATTAAAATGCAAGAGAACAAATATGCAAATTCGGCTTTAGTTATTTTGGTAGTCCATCAAAAGCGATTCAGCGCTTAAATTATGCAATCGAAGGAATTCGTGCATATCGACAGGACTCAACCAATGACAATTGCTGTTAAAATTGTTTTCCAATTGCTTTACTCGACAAAATGGCCAACTAATTAACAAGTCATTAATGCCAGGTTTCGGCCAGAAAAGCCAATTTGGCCACACAAAACTGTTGCCCTGCATTCACACTTCGATTTTCACACGTTCTGTGGCCGAAAATGTTTGTGCAAACTCGGGCCAAATTGTGGAGCCATCAACGAAAAGTTATTAGACATAAACTAAATACTCTTATGGAAGGGGGTTGTGGTACTTAAATTTTCACTGAGTTGTCTGGTGGGTTTGTAAACAACCAAAAGGAATTATGTACTTCCTTAAGTTCCTACGAAGATCGAAATGTGTTTTAAATGCTATATATTTCCTGCTTTTATTAAACTATTTCCTAAGAAAGCTGCATGATTATAGTGAGTGTGCTTCCCTGGCCAGAAATATATAAAATGAATATTGTAGAAGCTTTAAGTTTTAAAAGGCATTACTCATAAAATAATTGAATTTATTGAGACTGGCTATTTGAAAATTGTTTTTAAATGGCAATATATCTACAATGTAGGTTTAAGGACACCTATACGATTTGTTAGCTTAAAACCCAGTTTCTCACCCATGGACTTCTTCCCAGAGTAAATTGGAATGTACACGGGTGTTGTATAATTTATGCACGAGTGGCTTCCACTTGGCCAGCAGCACCGCGTCCAGGAAGGCCAGAAAATAGCACCGAATTTAGTCAGACCCGGGGACCCAATTTGTTATTGTTTGGCTATCGGCGTGAACGCCAACCTGACCCACGGGTATGACCCACCACCTCCTCACCCGCGAAACCCAGTGAACATTTGGCTGCACCAATTTGTATCCAATTAAATCGGCTGGGTTAGTCGGGCGGTTTGCTCGATAAAACGTTTCCATTTTGCGGCTCAGCATTTTTAGCCAAATTCCCCACTGTTCGGCTCAAATGCGCTTATAAACTAGTTTTCGGGTGTAGATGGCGACTGGGGCGACTGGGCGACTGAAACTGCAAGGATAACCGATTTTCGCGTCAACGTAATGCGCGAAATTTAATTAAAATTGAACTTCATTTAGATAAGCATGTGAGCTGATTTGATAAATGGGGCGGCCCGCCTCTGGGGGCGTGTGAGATTTCCCAGGAATCGCGTGCTAAGCGGCTTACGGAAGGTGTAGTGATAAATGGGAGCGGGATTTTCCACGGGGGGCAGCGATTTTCCAGGACCATTGGCCGCTGTGCAGCAACAGGCGAATTTGTGACTGGGGAGTGGCCGGGGTAATTAGAAATCCATTTGGCTCCTTTTCACTGGCCGAGGCAGGTTCGAAATCCCACAGGACTCTTCGGTCAGACTGGAGGTATCTGGAGTTCACAGTCAGAAAAAACTTGTGGACAGCTGCCCCCAGGAGTTCTTTAGAAGTAATGCTATTTAATTTCCAGCGCAAGTTTGTGTCCATATCCACTCTACCGTAAGATGTCGTAGAAATTTAAAAAAATGAAAAAAAGTCCAAAGGCTGTGGTTCTAAACTCCATAACTCAACTTATCTAAATCGGATTTTCTAAATGTTTCTGGCGCAATTCTCTAAAAGCTGCATTTAAATTTAGAAATTAATTTTTTTTTAATTTTTTGCAGTTTTAAGTAAGGTTTTTAAGTATTTTTTTCATTTTATTACTTTTTCCCCAGTTTCTACCGATATTCCAGAAAATGCTGAAATTTCTCGTTTGCACTTTCACTAGCTGAGTAACACTATATAGTAAAAGTCGACTATAGCATTCTATCTTGTTGATAATAATAGTTACAAATAATTGCTCAACTTGTATGCATTTAATAAAAACGCGATATTATTTAAAAGCCCTAGTCTGTAATATTTTTCGTTGTACAAATATTTTCTAAAAATCCCATTTTCAGAGAACTGCTTTGACTTTAAGGTCTATCTATTTTAAGTCTAATGTGCACCACTCTCTTAAACACTTCACACACTCTTTTCACCTTTACACAAATTTTGGTAGAGTTTATACGGAAGTAAGCCACGTTAAACAATACTGCCAGCCTTACAATGGATAGTGGCAACCAAGATGAAGACACGGATTTCTTGTTCGATATTGTGGTCACTAGCTTGGACCTTTACAAGCCAGTCAACGAACCCGAACAATTGGAAGCACAAGTCAAGTTCGGTGGTGCCAATATAAAAATCACGTCCAGTCGAATAAATGTCCGCGAGTTCGAAAACAACAGAGTGACCGAGCTCACCCTCAGTCCATCTGCATTGCGCCAGTCCCTGGAAAGTCAAGGAATGCAGATATCCGCCCGTTACGCAGGCTCATCCCTGGGCAGTAATGTGCTGCTCTTTCCGGACACCTTTATCGATAAAATAAGCCCCACGATGAACGACCTTTTTTTCGAGGATACGATAAATCTAATGCGCCGAGTTGACTGCATTGGCACCATTAGCATTCGACTAGTACTGATCGTGAAGTGCACAAATCTGGACATCATTAAGGAACCGCGAAGATCCAGTTCCCGTCGATCGTCCCGAAAATCCTCTGCAGCGGAGGTGGCTCCCAAAATGGTGCTGCCCAAAGAAAATTGCCAAGGACTGGGACCGACATTTAACGCCCAGGACATCATGTTTGTCATCGGGGATCCCGATCCTTTGCTCAAGATTCCACTAGAGCCGTGCTCGGAACTTGCGTTCGAGGAAGGGGATGTGCGACTGGATCTGGATCTACAGCGCTATAGGAGCTTGGAAAATCGTCGCGTAGTTTATCCAGATGACGACCCCTGTCCCAAGGACAAACCCTCGATTAGTCAACTAAGGCAGCTGATACATCATTACTCAAGGCTCATTGGAGTGGTATCAGATAAAATTAACCAGATGAATGTGCATTCAAGCTCGGTGGATCCCCCATCAGTGGATACCCATGCTCCTAGTTCAAGCACACCCAAGGAGCCAGTAGAAGATCGCAGAATACCAGTTCCTATCAAGGATGATACTGACAACGATATAAATCCCATTCGCTTTTGCCCTTTTTGCTTGTGTTCCATGTCCTGGCTACCGAAATATGCCAACTGCCCCAATTGCAATGCAGCACCGCTACCTGTGCTCCAAGAGCATCACAGCCATAAACTAACTGCGGATGAAATCGTAGAAGAGCTGTTGAAACCAAAACAACATAAGGAATCCGACGAGATTGCCTGTAGGCAGTGCCAAGACCCGATTATACATACCAAGAAATTAAGGAAAAAGAAGAAACCTGGATTGGGTGAACCTACTCAAGTCTCTGAATCTGACTCCGGCGAGGAGTGTCCTCCATGCCGCTGCACTTGTTCCGCCGAAAAGACTTGCGCCCATTGCCGCATTCGCAAAATGTGCGAGGACGTTTTTAATGGCGAGAACGAAAATGCGCAGGAGCAGGAGACGCATATAGAGGTGCCACAACCCTGCAAAGGCGAGGATTTCTGTGTGATCTCAAACCCCAGTGATGACCGTCCTTACCTCTCCAGAGTTTTAAACGAGCTTAAGGATCTGTACCATCTGCACGACACCAAGAAGCTGTTGGATATGCAAAAGCGCTGCGAATCGCAGACTCTACTGCCAATCGAAATTAGACCTTCCATAAGCCTTAAGCATGCCCCCAATGGCTTTGATCCCCACGTTCCCGGTACCTTGAATCGCCAGACAGCGGGACACAAAACCTGTTTGCCGGAAACACACTATGTTCCTCGCCAGCACGGTTGGGATTGGCCACGTTCCTGGCTGGCCAGGAAGTACGGCTGGAGGCCAGGCGCCATTCTTCGAGCAGCTGGTCAAGTGATGCGCTACTTCCTGCTGCACAAGAAGGGTCAGAGGAGATCCGCCAAACAAGATGATCGGGGATGCAGCGGCCATCCAATACTTAATGTATGCAAAAAGGACGGAGTGATCTTAGTTACCCTTCGCGCCCTGGCCACTTCGGATATGAAACAGAGACCCATCACCTTCCGCATTGTGAAGAGCGAACTGGCGGAGGCACTGCGTCAAATCAAGCGTGCGTTGAAAGATCAGGGTTTTAGAAAGTGCACTTGCCACAAATCCCTGATGCTGTGCACCTGCCGCGATGCCTTGGAGAAGTTCGAGCTCAACAAGGCCCTGAAAAAGGAGTGCCAGCGACGAATCATGGAACCCTGTCCCGAGCACTTGGTGCTCACCGACACGAGCATCAGTGACCTCGAGTTTAACCTGGATGTCACGCCGCCAACGGGAACACCTTGGCCGATTAGCAAAGCCCTCCCGAACGTGGTGAGCCATGGCACACAGACTCAGAGGAAAGGGAAACCATCTATAGAGCCCAAGTACCCACTTCCCGATAGTCCCTACTGGAGGGCTTTCGACTGCGCAGCGGCAGACCACTACATGGGCACTGCCTTCGGGGACAATCTGGAGACCGTATTCGAGGATGGCATATTTGGCTATCGAGGAGGAGGACAGCATGGAAGAGCTCCCTGTGGGCGGGATCCGAGGATTTGGGGAAAGCGTACAGGCGCACCAATGCCCATTGGCACCGCTCATGATGCCATCGATCCTTATAGGTTCACCCGAAGTGTTTGGAAGACACTGCCAAGAAATATTATTCGCCAAATGCACACAAATCGCAAATTGTAGGACTACTGTTCATAATAAATATCCCTTTTAATCTGAATGTGACAATTGACTAAGGACAACTTTCTTGGGATTCCAGAACCACTTTTCTGCTTTGAACTTAGCTCTGAGTTTAATGCCATAACATTCAGTCAATTAGGTTCCTACTCCTGTAAAACAAGCACACACATTACTTGCGTTTCCAGTTTATATTTCTACATTTTTAATCGGCGATATTAATAGATGATTCCTCAGAAGAACTGACCTAGGGCATACAAATTCTAAAATACCACAAGTATACAAACACAAAATGGCGGAATCGGCAAACTTTCTTTTCGATTTGGTCATCACCAATCTGAATATTTTTGGCGTGACGATCGAGGAACCCATCAAACTTCTGGTGGAAACCAAGGTGGCTGGAAAATCAGTGAAGGTAACGTCCAGCCGAATCAATGTCGACCAGTTTGTGGCCAACAGGGAGTTGGAGCTCACCATGGAATCTTCGACATTGCGACAAAGTCTGGAGGAGAAGGGCTTATCTTTGTCGGGCGTGTACCAGGGGTCAACTCTGGGCAAGGCTACTGTGAACTTCCCCTTGGAGTTTCTTGACAGGATCAGCCCCACGATGAACGATCTGCTGCACGTGGATACAGTCGATCTGGTTCGTCGAGTTGACGTAGTCGGAACGGTGAGCGTTTTAGTCCGCTTGACCATAAAATGCGAGGAGCACCCAGAGCCGAAGCCCTTAAGGCAAAGCCTTTCCCGGACCAGCAAATCATCGGTGATACTACCGAAGAAGGAGAAAAGCGGACGAGTGAGCTGTGCTAGCCAGGGCCCGACCTTCAATCCTCAGGATGTCATGTTTGTCATCGGCGATCCTGATCCCCTACTCCAAATTCCTTCGGAGCCGTGTTCCGAACTTCCTCCCGAAATAGGAGATGAGCGCCTCAATCTGGACTTGCAGCGCTACAAAAGCGTTGAAAATCGTCGAGCAATCTTCCCAGATGATGATCCCTGTCCCAAGAAGAAACCCTCATTTATGCAGCTCAAGAGGCTCACCGAGGAGTACTCTAATATCATCGACTCGGTGGTCAAGAAGGTCAAGCAAATGGATCTGCCCTCGAGCTCATTGGCTCCCACAGAGCCACCTTCCGATGCGAATGCCCCAAGTCCAGTTTCCACCCAGAAGTCTCTTATTCCTACTCCCATGGAAGCTTGCATACCCGTGCCCGTTAGATCCGACTTGATACATGGCGTGAAACCTACTCGGTTTTGTCCTGTCTGCTTGTGCTCAATGTCCTGGTTGCCAAAATATTCACCATGCCCTCAATGCAATACTAAAGCAGTGCCTATACTCCAGGGACATCCGACCAAGAAAATTACGGCCGAAGAAATTGTGGCAGAGCAACTGGTTAAGCCAAAAGCACCGCCCGGAGTCGAGGACTTTTGTGACCCAGCCTGCGAAAAGGTGCGCCGCAAGATCTGGAACGAGGACGAGTGTCCACCGTGCCGTTGTACGTGCTTCAAGGGAAGAACCTGTGCCCACTGCCGAATCCGCAAGATGTGCGATGACGTGTTTGCCGCCAAGAGTCCACCGAAACCGCCTCGCCGAGTACCAAAACCCCGCTCAAGTGAGGATTTCTGTGTGGTCATGGAATCTGAAGAGGAGGATGATCTTCCCTACCTGGCAAAGGTATTTTCCGAGCTTAAGAATCTCTACCATATCCACGACACCAAGAAGCTGTCGGCCATCAAGGAACGCTGCGCAGCTCAGTCCTTATTCACTATCCGCAGCAGGCGATCCATCAAGGAGCTGACGGAATCGCTATACCCAGGAGATAAAACCCACGACAGGGAAAGCCATCTTCCCAAGGCGGGCCACAAAAGCTGCCTTTCACCCACAAGCATTGTGTCCCGTCGCCATGGCTGGAACTGGACAAAAAGCTGCGAGGCACGGAAAAATGGCTGGCGGCCAGGAGCCATCCTGCGATCCTCCGGCCATGTGATGCGCCACTTCCTGATGCGAAGTAGGGATCAGAATGTGTGTCGAAAAGTGACGGCTGACTACGAGGAGCAGCAGCGATTTGCTCATCCCGTGCTCAACATTTGCAAGCGGAATGGTGAGATATTCGTGACCCTTCGTCCACTGCCCACTTTGGCCATGAAACAGAAGCCCATCACCTTCCGGATCGTGAAGAGCGGCTTGGCAGTGGCACTGCGTCAGATCAAGCGCGCTCTAAAGGATCAGGGCTTCGAGAAGTGCTCCTGCCACCAGTCCCTGATGATGTGCACCTGTCGCGATGCCTTGGAAAAGGTTTACCTGAACAAGGCCCTTGAGAAAGAGTGCCAGAAGCGGCTAATAGAGCCGTGTCCCGACCACTTGGTGCTCACCGACACGAGTGTAAGCGACATGGAGTTCGATCTGGATGTGACTCCGCCAGCGGGAACCCGTAGACCGAAGAGGAAAGCCCTGAGGAACGTGGTGAATCATGGCACCCAGACTGCAAACAAAAAGCCACCAGCTGTAACACCTCCATACCCAGTGACCCACAGCCCGTACTATAGGGACTACGACTGTGCAGCAGGAGATCGATATATGGGCACAGCATTCGGTGACAATATAGAAACCGTTTTCGAGGATGGACTCTATGGATACAGAGGCGGTGGCCAGCATGGCAGACCCGTCGTCTGGAGGCATCCAAAGGTGTGGGGTAAGAAGGCGGGGGCACCACTCCCGATTGGAACCGCTCGAGACGCCGTCGATCCTTATCGGTTCACCAAAACTGTTTGGAGAGGGCTGCCGCGAAAGATAATTCAAAAAATGAGAGCAAAATCAAGGAAATAGCTATTCTTTTATTAAAAGTCAAAATGTCAGAGTGGTGTTTAATTTCGGCGATGCTGCTATGAAAGTGCTTTTGAATTATAAGGGCTTTTCTATGGTGTTTTGTACAATTTTAGTTAATTTTGTTAGTGATAAGAAACCAAATTTTTGCTAGTGCCAATGTGACGCGCGCAAACTTGTTTTCAAAATATTGCTAAAATTCTATTAATACGAGCGTTGGAATTCGACTAAATATGCTAATTAAACAACTGAGGTGAAATAGAAATTATAAACTGGTCGCAATCAAGTGCAAGCGGTAGTATAAAAGCGCCATGCCAACTGTTAGACTGCATTCAAAGTTCCCAAAATGAAGATCTTCGCCGTGTGCTCCTTTTTGCTGCTCATCCTGGCTGCCGTCCAGGCTAATAGTTCTCCAGAGGCAAGGGCCCTTTCTGGAAAGGAGCTTAAGAAGACTGCTGGATAATTAATAATTGGACCATTATCCGGACGAAAGCTTCTCGAATACTGTAATACAATCGATGCTCAATAAAAACTCTGTTTAGCCGCAGCACTTTTTGTATTTATTTGCAGACGGAAAAAGTCTCTTTCGAAAAAGTCTTCTTTAGAACAAATGGAGTAAAATAGAACCTAGGTCGTATTGGTTCTTGTGGTGTGTACACCACTTTTCTCACAAAATATAATTTCGGTGTTAATTTGATAAAAAAAAAGTTAGTTTCTTATTTTATATTATTTCATCGATAGACATTTCTAAAGAAATGAGGGGCTTAAGGGGAGTTATAGGGAATCATTATAGTTAGCAACAAAACCTTTGAACATAATTCCCATTGATTTAGAGTTTCTGAGCAGCAGATGTCACTTCCCTTTGACTCTTCTGCCATTCTGTACTGAAATTACCTATTAAAATTTTTAAGCCAAACAGTAGTTACTTGAAAGTTATAATCCAAGGACACAATGCTGGATGTTGCGCAAGAACCAGTGCAGCAGTATGGAAATCGGAGCCACCAGGCGGAGTGTGTGCCCCTGGGAAAATATCCAGCATACGGATCGGACATCGAACAGGACGACGAGGGCAAGGGCCTGGGGTTCTCCAGCGCCAGCATCCGGCGGGGATTCATCCGGAAGGTGTACCTCATCCTGTTGGCACAACTGATCACCTCCCTGGTCGTCATAGTTGCGCTTACTGTTGATAGGCAGGTGCGCCTGATGGTGGCAGACAGCACCTGGATGTTCCTGGTGGCCATCCTAATAGTGGTCTTCTCTCTGGTGGCTCTGAGCTGCAACGAGGATCTGCGGCGTCAGACACCAGCTAACTTACTCTTCCTAGCTGCCTTCACGATAGCCGAATCCTTTTTGCTGGGCGTGGTAGCCTGCCGATATGCTCCGATGGAGATTTTCATGTCCGTGCTAATCACGGCGTCAGTTTGCCTGGGACTCTCTCTATTTGCCCTGCAGACGCGTTACGACTTCACCGTGCTGGGTGGTATCCTGGTGAGCTGCTTGATAATACTGCTCCTCTTTGGAACCGTGAGCCTCTTAGTGGGCGGACATATGGTCACCACCATCTATGCCTCATTGAGCGCCCTGCTCTTTTCCATTTATTTGGTTCACGATACCCAATTGATGATGGGAGGCAAGCATAGGTACTCCATAAGTCCCGAGGAGTACATATTCGCGGCCCTAAATATTTATATGGATGTTATGAACATATTCCTGGAAATATTGCAGTTACTCGGGGGATCCGATTAGTTCCATAAAATCCCAAAGACACGTATTATCTTAATAAAGCCTTAATAAATCCAATTGTGCAGCATTAGGTATTTAGTTGTCAGTTTACAAACAGTATGGCAAAACCACCCCGACACCTCACTACAATACACTACCTAAAATGTAACAAAAACCCTAAAAGCCTAAATATAGACTTTAAAATTTGTACATTTTTTGTACAAGCAACAGGTGCCATAAATAATAGCCATAAACTTGTTTGCACAAACAAAAGCAGAAATATCAAGAGTGACCAGTGTTTAATTATCGCACCTGTTTACGAGTATGAGCGCTAATTAACGGACAACCTATATCTTGAAACACATTTCGTATAATTTATTCTGGACCCAAAAAATAATACCAAAAAATGGTAAAACAGGTACCTATAAGCGGTTACAATATTAGCTATATAAGAACTTCCAGCACACCAAAGTACATCAAATTTGGAAACGATGAAGTTCTTCGCTCTGTGTGCCTTTCTCCTCATTACTCTGGCTGCCGTCCAGGCCACTCCCGGACGCGGATCCGTGGGACGCGGTGCACCTGTAGGACACGGTGGACCTGTGGGTGCAGGACGTGGTCCAGTTGAAGGACGTGGTCCAGTTGAAGGACGTGGTCCAGTTGGAGGACGTGGTCCAGTTGAAGGACGTGGTCCAGTTGGAGGACGTGGTCCAGTTGGAGGACCTGGTCCAGTTGGAGGACATGGTCCAGTTGCAGGACGTGGTCCAGCACTAGACCATGGTGGTCACGGCCGTTCTGGCTAAACACTTATCTGAATTCTTCAAGGAACCCAATGCAGACCTTGATGGAAAGAAAATAAGTATTTGTTCAACACCTTCAGTGCAGCATATCCTAATAAAATGTTCGATCATTCGAAAACGTATTGTGATTTTAAGATTTGGGGGCACAAGGCCAAAAACGCTCCAAAACCAGTTCGACATTTAGAGGGCTCGCCGCAGACTTTGGGTTGAAAACGTAACTTTCGTTCGAATCGAATAACTGGAAATACTCATTATGCATTCGAAAAAAGAAACGAAACATGCCTTGGATTCTGTCATAAATGTTTGCCAGCCATTTATAATATGAAACTGGTCAGAGTTGGGTTTGTTTTAATATTCAGAACACTGTGTTGCCCGTCTACCTCAGTTTTATTGTAAAGTTTAGTGTAGTAAGTCTATTTGAAAAATCTAAAGTAAAAAAATTCAGTATATTATTGGAACTCGGATGACTAGTTCCTCCACAAGAGAAAGCCCAGACAGACCGTACAAGTTTAGACATCAAGATGGGACCCAAGAAAAAGTCCGTAGCTTTAGCTATTGCAGAACCTAAGCCGGAAGACCAGCCACCTGAAAAGAAAGCCCCGCCGAAGAAAGAGCCCATTCCCATATTCGTATTCGATGTCATAGTCACCCATTTGGAGGCCAACAACACCCAGTTCACGAATCCGGCCAACCTCGAAGTCACTGCAAACTTCCTCAAAAATCCCCTTCTCCTCACAAAGAGTCAGATAAATGTCAGCGATTTTAAGCCCAATGCGGGTCTCTCCCTTCAAAAGGACCCCAAAGAGGTTCGGAAGACTGTAAATGAGTGTGGGATAGCCTTCAGCGTGGTGTACAGCAAGAAGGTGATTGGCTCTGGTCAGGCATCGTTCCCCTCCAGCGTGGTGGACTCAATCGAAAAGGACATGACCGATATCCTTCACTCGGACGTCATTGACTTGGCTGCCGGCGGCGTGGTGACCGGCAAACTGGAGTTCCTTTGCCGGCTGGTCGTCATGTGCATAGCAGAGTAAGTGGATCCAAATGGCCACCTACACGCATATATTTTGCTAAGTATTTCTTTTCATTTTGTATTGGCAAACCCTTTCAGTGAGCCTGAAGCCGAGTGCTCGCGTAACGTGGACAGGAGCATCAATGCACAGGATATTATGTTCGTGATGGGCGAGTCGCAGGTGTGTCCTAGTGCCTGTGAGCCCTGTGAAAATAATTTGGAGGAGGAGGAAGGCGACGAGCGGCTCAGACTGGACCTGGATCGATATCGGAGCCAGGGTGGTGGTATAAAGCCATACAAGATGATGACGGAGAACGGATCTGGAATACCAGCATGTTGCGAACTTAAGGTTACTAAGCATATATATTTTTAAATTGCTGCATTCTTTTCGAATAATTTGCAGCTATTTCCGCCAATTACAATAATTTTATAATTTTGTATTCAGAAAATGGCTATCGAGTACGAGCGGATGATCGATTCCATTACCAAACAGACGGGCATGCCGCCTCCCAAGCCTCCGTGTCGTAATCCCGACGAGGCGAACAACTTTGGCATGAATCCCTGTTGGTGTCAGCCTGAACTTCCTCAGTTTCTTGAGCTGCCCGAGAAACCGGACAAGCCGTGCTTTGTTTACCTGCCCGCCACCCAAGATCACGAGCCGGACTTTTGCGAGAAGAACCTGATGCCGGTTCCCATTGCCGACTGCGATGGCCAGAAGCCGGACATCAAACCCATCCGCTTCTGTCCGGTCTGTCTGACCAATATGTCGTGGCTGCCGAAGTTTGCGGCGTGCCCGAAGTGTGGGATCAAGCCGATGCCCGTGGTGGAGGATAGGCACAAGGTGAAGAAGGTATCGGCGGACCAGATCCTGCTCGAGTACTTGGGCAAAGGACCGTCCACCGTGGAGGACTACTGCCTGGATCCCTGTGAAAAGGCCGAGAAGGAGAGAACCGCCGAGGATGAGTGTCCACCATGTCGCTGCAGCTGCAAGTTCGGCAAAATGTGCGCCCACTGTCGCATCCGAAAGATGTGCGCCGATATATTCAAGAGCGATCAGATAGCACCCAAATGCCCAAAAGTGGAGCCGAAGGAATCGGAGGACTACTGTGTGGTAAACAAGAGCTCCGAGGACTGCAGACCCTATCTGGCCAAAGTTTTCTCCGAGCTGCGCGATCTCTACGATATTAAGGACACCAAAAAGTTGTCCGAACTGGACGAGAACTGTGATCGAGCGGTGCCCAAAACGGAGACGACTGGCAAACCTGAACCAAAGAAGGAGATCCAAGGGCCCAAGAAACCTCCTTACATACCGCCCAACAACAAGGGTCAGATCTCCAGCAGACACAAGCGATGTGTCCTTCAATCGGGATTTGTGCCCCGACAACATGGTTGGGCCTGGAGCAACAGCTGGGAGGCCAAGAAGCTGGGCTGGCGTCCGGGTGCCATCCGCAAGCCCATCAAGAAACTGATGAAGTTCTTCCTGGAGCAACCTGCCCGAGAGAATGCCTTCGCCAAATGCAAGGACACGGAGACGTTGGAGCGGGAAACGGAGCTGGCCTCGCCGGTATTAAATATCTGCAAGAAGAACGGCGAGATCTTCATCACCCTGCGTCCTCTCACTCCCTTGGGTATGCGCCAGAAGCCCATCACTTTCCGGATTGTGAAGAGCGAACTGGCAGTAGCCCTGCGCGAGATCAAGAGAAAGCTGAAGGATAAGGGCTTCCGCAAGTGCACGTGTCACCAAACATTGATGATGTGCCATTGCAGGGAAGCCACCGAAAAGGTACATCTGCAGAGGGCCTTGAACAGGGAGTGCCGACGCCATTGCATTCCGCCAGCTGGCGACCATCTGGTGCTCACAGATACCAGCGAAAGCGACATGGAGTTCGACTTTGATGTCACTCCGCCAGCAGGAACGGAGCAGCCATGCCAGCCGCCTCTGCCAGACACCGTTAACCATGGCACCCAAACATCCAAGAAAGACCAGATGCCGCTTCCTCCAAAGTATCCCATCAAAATTCCTCCATATTACAGAGGTTTCGACTGTGCCGTGGGCGATCGTTACATGGGAACTGCATTCGGATGGCCGGGTGAAATGGTCTTCGAGGATGGCGTCTTTGGGATGCTGGGTGGCGGTCCACATGGCCCCAATCCAATGCCCTGCGGCAGACCTCGAGTGCCAGGAGCTTGGGGAGGTGGCGCGGGAATGGATGGCGGTATTGGAGGTGCCGGAGGACTTGGTGGAGCTGCAGGCGGCGGCGCACGAGGAGGCTTTGGTGGCGGAAGGCTGGGCAGAACCGGTGGACCCGGAGGACCCGGAGGAGCTGGGGGCGGCCCCGGCGGACCTGGAGGTGGTGCCTGGAAGGGCTTTCCTAGCGCTGCCGTTGGAAAAGCCCAAGGCGAAGGCAAAGGAAAGGGGGAAAAATCTGAGCCTATACCAGTACGCTATCCAAAGAGATTCCTCAAGCCCGCCGAGGAAGCAGCTAAGGCGGCCAAGCAGGCGGAGAAGGACGCTGTGGACGCGAAGAAGAAGGGCATTAATATGATCAAGTATCTGCAGAAGAAGGGCACTCTCGTCCGCCCCTGGAATCCGCAGGAGGGCAAGGACAAGAGACCTAAACGACCCAAAGGTGGATTTGTCGGCGCCGATGGTCTAAAAGACCATGAAAGGAAGCGCAAAATGCTCCTGGCCGTTCCACCAATACCAATCACTGAGATGCCCCGCCGAGGAAAAGGACCTTGTGATCCCTATCGCATGGAAATTATCTACTGAATGGTCTTCATTGTCTGCATTCACTCCAATGTCGCGAAAAATTCGAATGTGATATGCCTCGCATTTTTTTAATATACCTAACAAATTTTATTTGAACGTTTTCTTTTGCGCTGAAATGGATAAGCCATTCCTTTTATACAAATATTGCATTTTTCCCGAATGTAAATAATGCTCCATTTAATGTCCAGATGCAGGAGACGACACTTGCCTGCTAATGCTGTGAAAATCCGAAAGGCATTATCAAATTTTATGTTATGGCATAAGATGCCATAAAGCCGTGCTCTCGTATATTATACATGAAATATGGCAATTTCAATTAGTTTTTAGTGCCGCCGACATACAGACACAAACTGGGGATTAGATTTTGTAAGCCCAACAGCTTGTTTGCGTTATTATAACAGCATTTCGGACTGCCATTCCCACTCGAAACGACATCGGAATGGGGCTGCGTTTGTGGAGTCGAGTGGAGCTAAGATGGAAAATGTTGTCTGTGCAGTTAATTAAATGGCAGGCACGCACAGGGGGTTATGGCAAAATTTTTGGGCTACTCCATAGCGATTTCAGATTTCAGATTTCAGCCGAAGCCCACACACACGCACACTAAATAATAGTAAATTAATGGGAAATGCTAATATATGCTAAATACGTAAGCTGATTAGCAGGAAACGCATCATATCCATCCGTACATCGCATGGTGCAGACAAGCTCATATATTGAGCTAATAAGTAGCCATGTCAACCTGTCTAAAGCGCCCAATGGAATTCGGAAAGTTTAGAAATTAGTCCATATTTTACTATCATAAAATGTAGCTATAATTATTTCGTGCAGTGCCATTACTGACAGCATTACTACATTTCCCTCTGGAACAACGAATCTCTGGGCTGAAATATTCACCCGCTAACCCAAGGGATTCAAATTGAGCCAATTTATTACGCCTTTCGCAAAGGTTTCAAATTTACACAGGGAGTACACGAAAATTTATAATTATACATACAAATTAGGCCAATTAAGTGGGGAAAGGAAAAATGCGAAAAAGTTCATTTTCAGCATGAAATATTTCGGCACGTAAATTGGGCAAAGAAAAAGATATCTTACCTGTGCAAAAGGGAACAAATAATTGTATATGAAAGTGGAAGAAAGGGGCTAAGTGCATTAGTCTCAACCGGGGGAATACTTACATATATATATTTAAATATAGACACCCATAGACACCGTTTTGAGTAAAAAAATGTCTCTCATTAACAAATTTAAAGTGGGCAGCTTAATTTGCAACAATGTTTCTGGGCAAACATAAACCAAATAAAAGGCTTGATAAATCACGCCAAGAATTTCTGATTGGGCCCGGTTTTTAGCCATGGAAATATTTCATAGGCCACTTAGCAGGTGGCGGGACCGCATTTATTTTTGCCACTTTGCAGATAAGCTGGGAAATATTTCGAAATTGTGACACTCCAGCGAAATATGTGGGCGATGGGATGGGTGGATGATTATAGTATCGCAATTATGTTTTGAGAGGGGCAGAGAGTCCTGCATAATTCAGTGGACCAGAAGGGTCGATATTTTCGGGGCAAAACCCTCGTTGAATATTTTATATAATGGGATTTTTAATTCGACGCTTTAAAGTCAACATGGCGATGGAGGGTAGACGCAAAGGTAAACGCATTTTGGCACTCCATAAATCAAAAAATTCAAGTGCCGCGCGGCTGGCGAACAGTTGGTACCCTGGTGCCCTGGTCCAGGGCCAAAATGGGCACAAATATTTATTCAGGCCGTTGCTGGCCAGGTCGTAATACTGCCACTCCTCGCAGGATTGCAGGACATCCAGGACACACCCTCGGTGTAACGTCATGTCGGTGGCCATTCGGTGTGGCAGCTTACATCCGTTTCCGTCAGCACAAATAAAGGTTTTATCAGACGTGGAAAACTGCGTCCAAGGCATTCCTGCGGACTCGGCCACGTTAAGAAATGTTGTGCCATAAAACGGACCAAAGTACTGCCAAGTTGAAGACCTCTTTTTTGGAGGGGCTGTCCGAGACACTTTATCATCATTTGTCAATTAGTTGCACTACCTTTGTCAGGGGAAAAGGCCGTCTAAGGAAGTCTGGCCGCTGGGCAAGTCCATTAGCAGAGCCAAGTTATTTGCTGCATAATTCATAATAATTATGCCAGCAGATTTGTGATGCCCCCAAAAACTTTTCAGCTGCTCAAATTAAGCAGCGTCTTTTTGTGAATACTCGTACAATTTCTTGCGAAACTTCCACTTGCTCCTGGCGCTTTTTGCAATTTTCGGACCATCTGTGCGAATTTTAGATTCGTTTCCAGCAAAGGCTGCTGTCAAAGGAAGTTGGAACTGGGGGATGGTGATGGCGGCCCACCGGCTGCTCCTTCAGTTGACCTGCCATAAGCTGCCATAATGCCAAAATACCAGATGTGCCTCCACTGCAAATTGGGTTTTAATGAATATTCGATTGCAGCCATTTAATTGCCACATGGAGAAGTCAAGTCGGGCGACTCGACACGCTTGCATGCAACCAGGCACGCGATTCCACATTTGCCATTTACTGCTCGTTCCGCTGCCGCGCAGCCGTTGCTCTAATTAATGCAGAAATCCGCCTGCGACAACGCTGCGTATGAGCAACGTACAGCCAAACGGCGACTTGGAGGCGTAACCGGAGTACTCCGTGCGTTGCGAGTGTGGGTGTTGCTGTGTGGGTGTTCATCCGGCTGCACCACAGCAAAAAAATGAGTTAAGGTTTTCAAATGTACATTTTCTTTGATCAAAGCTCTCTATTTAATTCTACTTAGCGCGTAAGCTCGCTTTTTTACCACAAAACTTGCGCGAAATATTTAATTAATAATAAGATTGATTAATGTTGAAATAATATTTTTATTAAATATTTTCTTAATTATAAAAACTGTTTTCTTCAAATTTTGTTCATAATTGATATTGCAATTTTTCAGTAATGCTGCAATGATTTTTGCAGTGTGGCCTACATTGGGCGAACTTGCAGCCAGACTGCCAAAATAACAAAAACAAAAAGAAACCGAAACTGAAACAAACATTTTGTTACCAGCAGCTTTACGATTCCATTAAAGGCTAAAAGGAAATGTCAGCCAGAAAAAGGGCATCAACTTCAAAAGTTCTGGGGTATTTTGGCCAGTACCCCGCACTTGAGATATTTGTGTGGCTTAGTTGCCACAAAACTTCGTGCAACAAACGGCAACTTCATAAGCAAAAAAGGGAGTTTTATTAAAGCAGGAAAGGTATTCCTTGTTCAATGATATTTTTCATCGCTGTCCACATTCCGGCTTAATATGTACGGTTACTTTGGCTTATGATACTACAATCCGGTTAGTCAAAAACTTGTGTGTCCCGATAATATCCTAAAACAAAACTTTCTTGTTATGAGCAATCCCGGGCGCAATCCAGAAAGTACGAAGACACAACGACCCCCAAGTGCAATAAAAGATTTATTCATGCATGCATGTGAACCTATGCGCGGAAATTTCGCTTATTTTTGCGAAACTCAAAAGCCCAAATAATATAAAAATAAATCCCAAAAGCAATTGCCTGCACTGCTGTATTCGGAATTTTTCGCAAGTTTGAAAGAATTCCCAAAGATAGCAGGTGAGGGAAAATAATATAAAATTCACGTACGTCTTTTTTCACAACAAAGTAATCATGCCAACTAAAATATTAATTTATGGAAATTTGGAATATCCTATTGCATTCTTGGAATATATACATATCAATTTATTTGGAAAGTTTGTACAGTTAAGCACTTAAGCTAAGCGTTTGGTAATCGAAACGTTTTTTGTGTATCTCAACCTACAATATAATCCCCTTTGCAAGAACGAAAACCAATTTATTTAAAGTAATAAACTAAATAATCCCTGAAAGCTTTTTTCGCCCAAACAAAAAATAATTTCGCATCAGTGTGAAGTGGAGTGTGCAATGTGTTGTTGATTGATTTACAATTTGCCCCATCTATTTTCATTTCCTTTTTCGGCCCCAGGCCCCAGGGATCAGCATTTGTCATCAGTTTGTAGCAATAAAGGATTAAATGAATAGTAAAATGAACCACAAAAACAAAAGACCCAAACGCAAAACACAAGAAGCAAAACCAGCGAGCACCGCAATGCCATTTGGTTGCATTTTTGTGGGCATTTAAAGTTGTAATCGTAGTGCCACAGAGCAATTAAAAGTATAGGAGATGTCGAACAGAGAGCGCCAGAAGGCAGCTGCAAAATGAATTTCAATTAAACGGAAACATCGCCTCCCCAAAAAATAGCCAAAGAAAGTTCGAATTCAATTAAACAATAGTTTCGCTCAAACATAAATTGCCCAAATTCCTGCCACTTATGTGGGGCCAAGAGTGTGGCAAACTTGGCCAAAACTGCATAAGGAGCAGACAAGGAGCAGCTGTTCGTCCTGTCACTGACTGATTGTCCTACGTCTCCGGAGTCGGGATGCTGATGAGCCATTGGCCATGAACTTTATGGACATTTTGCGGTTAAACTTCGCCACTTTCACCTCCGACCCCTCTGTGTGTCTCTGTGTGCTTGTGTTTATTGGCAAATATTTTTGCTAGCTGAAAAAATATTTGCGCTCCAGTTCGAGCAGCAGTCTAGCTGAAAATTGTGAACTACAGCAGCCGGCGGCGAGCAGAATGTGCAGCATATTAAGCACTTTCCCCACACACATCCAAGCATCCACACACTTTCCCAGCTGATTCTGGATGGAGTCATTGAACCGAAGAGGGCATTAAGCTGCCCATTTGCATCACACAGATGCCGACAACCGAGGAGCCATGAGAATTCAATATGCAAATGGTCGCCAGCCACACAAAAATATCCTGTATCAGCTTGGCTGAAAGGTGTCGGGCTGCTCAAAACGTACAAAGGATTCACTGGCTCCAAAACGGAGTTGGCACATATCAAAGGACACCATTTCAAATGCAACAGCAAGCTGGCTGAAGTTTAAAACAGATATATTTCACACAAAAAATCCTCAGTAGGATGGAAATCTCTTTAAAATGCAATAGATGGAAATGGTTCCATAATAATATTTGTATCA